ATGTAGCAGATGATGTAGCGGATGATGTAGCGGATGATGTAGCAGGTGATGTAGTGGATGATGTAGCAGGTGATGTAGCAGATGGATGATGTAGTGGACTGATGTAGTGGGTGATACAGCTGATGATGTAGCAGGTGATGTAGCGGATGATGTAGCAGGTGATGTAACAGGTGATGTAGCAGATAGATGATGTAATGGACTGATGTAGTGGATGATGTAGCAGGTGATGTAGTCGATGATATAGTGGCTGCTGCTTCTTGGAGTGCTTCCCTGCTGGTTTCTCTGGATGAGAACCACTTAGATCATTGCAGAGCCTGGCAGGGAGCCACTTGGATCTCCCACTTTGTGGCACACCACTGTCCCTCCTACATCCTAAGTCAGATCTGCACAAGTCCCCCTGGGGTCCTCATCCCTTCTAATGTCTTTTAAAGACTTATGCCATCTAGAGTCTCACACCCTCTGACCTAAACCAGTACTGTTCCTCCTTTGCTCACTTCACTCCAAGTCAGTGTGCCTGGGGCCCTTAGTCAGCATCCACTGGACTCATCATATGGAATCCCTCCTTACTAGGTCTCCTAGACTCGTTTGCTTTGTTCCCGTGGTCTAGCCTACAGAAGCAAGATGGCAAAACCCAGCTCAACTCAGATTGGCTTACAATTCTGATGCTAGACGTTCAAAATGAGTTTCGTTGGGATCAAGACCAGGGTGTTTGCGGGATGGCATCGGAGATCCATGCCCAAGCCTTTCTCTGCTTTGCAGAGCCTCTCTTTCGTCCTCAGAGTCAGCAGACCAGCGTCTCTCAGTCTCTCACTGTCCGATCTCTGCTTCCGTTGTCACTGTCCTCTGTGCTCCCAGGAGGCCCACACAGGTCACCCGGGATAATATATATCCATCCTGAATTTATAGGAACCACCCAGTCTCTTTGGCCACAGGTCTAGGATCAAGATACAGGTGTCTTGAGATACAGGTGTCTGCACGTGGCTGTTACTCTGTCTACCACACACCCCCGGGGTCCTCATTCAGGAACCACTCACTTCAGTCATCTGTGGCGGATGCTGTAGGTGTCGCACCCACATTCTTTACCCATCAGTGAGGCGTGGGTGCTTCGGTACAAGCTAACAGCCAAGCGTGAGATGCTTCTGAAGGACTTGACCTGACCGAGACAAAGTTGTTCCCACCTAGAGGTCACACCACCAGGGACTATTAATCACCCCAGTGACTGAGGGTGACAAGCTGCTGAGGAGCCCCTGGGACTGGGCTGCTAAGCCAAGGATGCCCATGCCAAGGGTACCCATTAGTTTTTGTCCTTGTTGGCCCACACTTGCTCCTTCATCCCCCTTCTGGGGCTTGTCCACCCCCACACAAGTGACTAGGAATCGAAGGGTGTATGCACCCAGATGGCCACATTTGAAACAGTGACTGCCCACCCCTCCCCTAGACACTTCCTTGCCAACATTCTTGACTTATTTCCGCCCCCCCCCCATGGTTCTTACTGTCACTTTATTTCTACATTTTAATCTCACTATTTTGTGTCCTATTGCTGTGGGAGTCCCACAACACCAGAGATTTCTATTTCTGTCATTGCTGTATCTGTTACATGAATAGAATCCCCTCAGGGTTTGTTAAGAGCCAATTGATGGATTTAGGGATTAACGAGGGGAAGATGCCTCACCCTGTCTCTGGGCTAAAGTCCTCCTGTGGCTCCCACCCTAAGAGTAAGCACTGATCTCTGCTGTCTACCAAGCTGCACCCGCTGGGCCGGGCCGCTGGTTTTGCTGGTTAAGAGCAACTCAGATGGCAGCTGGACAGCGGGAGGGGTCTTACTATCTGAATCTGTGATTGCTGAGGGCCAGACAAGAAAGCACAAGTGTCAGGATAGTTGTAGAGGGAGCTGTCTCAGTTTATGACGGAAGGGAGGCCGACAACACGTTAAACGACGTGTTAACACCGGATCATGGTGGGATGAACCCACAGCATGCTACTGAAAGACCAGGCCTTAGCAGGCAGAGCACGGGTCGTGGGGAGGAGAGGTCAGCTTCCAGAGAACGGCCAGCTGCTGGTCAACGACTCTGGTCATAGTAAACCTTCCTCTGTTGCTTTACTAATTTTTTTTTTACTAAATTTGTGTATGCGTGTTTGTGTGTGCATGTGTGTGTGTGTGTGTGTGTGTGTGTGTGTGTGTACATGCACATGTCACAGTGTGCATGTGGAGGTTTCAAGACAACCTTCTGGAGTTTGTTCTTTTCTCCCACTGTGTGGGCTCTGGGATCAGATGTGGCAGGAAGCACCTTTACCCCCTGAGCCATCTCATCCACCCTGACTTGAATTATTGCTTGCGAGAGTTTTATCTGTATATAAGATCATGATGTTTCCTGTATATGTACATATGTTCATATACACTTCTCTCTCCCTCTCTCTCCATCTCTCTCTTTTTCCCTCTCTCCCTCTCTCCCTCCCTCTCTCCTTTTCCTGGTTCTAGGCACAAGGCTTCAAACCTCATGAAATTCCCTGACTGACAGCTGCTCTTTTTAGCAAGCACTATTTGAGGCCTGCTATGGGGCACAGTCAGTGCCCTCTGAAAAGGGAAGGGAGGGGGTGTTAGGAAGGGCTTGGGTCAGGAGACTCTGCCCTCAGGCGTGGAGTAATGCTGTCATTAGGGGAATGGGCGATCTACTGCCCATGTGACTGTTTTATGACAGTTGTCATAAAACAACTTGCTACTTCCCCTCTATGGCATGTGACATCTACAGATTCAGAAAGGAAGCCTTCCCTTTTTGCATTTCCCAGACCACAATCTACTAGGAGAAATAGATATCTCTATCTCTCTATCTCTTTTTTTAAAGATTTATTTATTTACTTTATGTATGACTGCTCTGTCTGCATATACAACTTTATGCCAGAAGAGGGTGTCAGATCCTACTATAGATGGTAGTGAGCCACTATGTGGGTGCTGGGAATTGAACTCAGGACCTCTGGGAGAGCAGCTAGTCGCTTAACCTCTGAGCCACCTCGCCAGCCCCCTAAATGTCTCTTCTTTGTATAAAGTTATCCACTTGGGTTATTTCATTACCACAGCAGCAAAGAGACTAAGGTAGCAACCATATTTAAGTCTATGCTAATGAAGTGACCCCTGGAGAGCAGGGAGACAGCATCAGGATGAGGTCTGATTTGTAGAGGAAAGAACTGGTGTGACCAGGGAGGTGTATTCCTCCTTCCTTTAGGAGACTAAGTCTAATGCTGCAGCCAACCACTTTGTTAGACCCAGCTAAATCCCTGAATGTGGGATAGTGGACATGCTGACGCTCTGGGGAGCCTGCTGCCACCGGAGGAGGAGAAGCTGCTGTGTTGACTCCTCCATCCCCTGTGCTGTGAATCTAACGTCTTCACTAGACTCGTGTAGAACTTTTATCCTGACTAATCACGCAAGTCCCAGGAATTCTGGGAGGCACATCATCACACTATTGGATCTGAGAGGAATTGGGGGTGTTCTTGATTTTGTAGCCAAGTTGGACAGGAGTCCAAGTGTTATGGAAGACCTTGAACTTGTGGCTCGCATCGAAAGTCGGGACGTCCTGTGACAACAGGTACTTATCCTGCCTGCTCTGACTGGGTAGTGGGTCAGAAAAGAGCTAAAGTATTGGCTGTCTACTTGGAGTTAAGAGGTCTGGTGCCAGACATGAACAGGCTGACTTGCTCGGGGCCGATGTTAACCATTTTGTAGGAGTTATAAGCTACAGACACTGGAACTCAGCTTAAGTTAAGGGTTGGCCTTTGCCTTTAGTATCAGTCTGTGTATCTTCCGGCTTTGAGGAACGCTAGACCATGAAGTCACACTGCTACCAGACCACCTAGTGCCAGGCCCTACATAGTGAGGCTTGCTGAGTCCCCAAATAGCTGAGTCATTTGTAATAGTTACCTTGGCAACATTGTGGCCTACTGCCTGACAGAAGAAATGTGAGGGGACAGGACTGGCTCATGGTTTCGGAGAGTGTGTCCATCCTGTTAGGGAAGGAGGAGCAGAGGGGATGGGATGGTGGCAGTGTGGACTGGAAGCCGTTCAGGTGGTGGATGGCGAAGCAGAGAACTTGCCGCAGGCTGGGCCAGAGGGGGGTATGACCTTCAGAGGCTAGCCAGTCCCAGTGACCTACTCTGGTCAGTTAGGGCCAACCTCCCAAAGTTTTCCAGAAAGACCCCAAATGGTGGCATCATCTGGAGGTCTAGAGCTCAGACCCATCCGTGGGGGACATTTACCATTCGAACCATCTCTTGGTTCCCTTGCAAATACAACCTTAATTTTACTCTGCTGGGCGACAGTGTTGAGGAGGCTATCTTTGGGGCTGGGGGATTTCAAAACAACTCTGGGCTGAGTAGCGGGGCGGGGGCGGGGGGTGACGGCGGATTTTCAGATCCTTTTTCTTTCAGTGAGATGCCTGAGAGCTGGTGATCCTCCTAGACAATAGGGAGGGTGCCTAAACTCAACCGCTCTCATTGCTGTTCTTTTTTTGAGGCAAGGTCTTGCTACATAGCCCAGGCTGATCTGAAACTCACTATGGAGCACAGGATGACCCCAAGCTTATCACCTGACCTCACCTCCAGAAGGTTAGAGTACAGGCAGGCACCACACCCTATGCTCCCTACCGCTGCTCCCTTGTTCTGGCTACTCAGCTTCCCAGGTAAAGAAAGGTTGGGGTCACAGTACTGGCTATTCAAGGGTCTGTAATAGGAAGGCTTCTTGACCTTGCCAAGGGCTGTCTCCTCTCTGAGGAGAAGTTGCTTCCCTCTCTGTAGAACCAATATTCTTAGGACTCACACCCAGGCCTCGGTTTCCATCCTGTACCTTCCCAGGCTTCCAATGCCAGGGCTTCAAGCAACTTTCAGTCTTCTAGCACTAGGTACAAACAATGGCAAAGGGGTACACAGCGCTGGGTTTAACCCAGAATTCCTTAAGTGAAAGTGCCACAGAGGATCTGACCTTCTCAAGCAGACATTCGGTTATTCTTCTGGCAGACATTAGAGACGGACCAGTAGGAACAGCTCCGTGACATGCATTTATTGGAAGAAGTACATTTAGCACACTAGAACTTGAAATTTTTTTTCATCCAGCAGATTTCCATCAAAACAAAAGTACAGATTTTAAAAGCCTAACCATACCTGCTTCCTGGCCAGGTGGAAGGAGAGTGCATTTAAAGGGGGACTTAATAGCGTCTTCCATCGCTCTAGCTTCAAAATAAACGGACACACAATAATTTGTCTTTGGAAGTAAGTCTCGGAGGACATAGGTGAAGTTCCCCGCGATGTTATTCATTTTGGGATTGTGCTGTAAAAAGAGACACAGACACACACACACACACACACACACACACACACACACACACACACACAGGGAGAGAGAGAGAGAGAGAGATCAGTTAAGACCTTGGTGAGAGCTCTGAGTTCTAAAGGTCCCATTTTCAAATTGTAAACAGGTTTAAAAACATCATAGGATTAATTGTGAAAAGGGTTATAAGTCTCTAGAAGCAAGCAATTTATCATCAAACCACATGTTTATACATACACACACATATTTTAAAACCACATCTGGCCTATCAACTCCTTTTCTGGAAGAGAAAAAAAAAAGTCCTAAAGGGAATGAAGATTCCTGTGATATCATTTCTACAATATTACCATTTTCCCCTAGCCCCACCTCTACTCCAAATACTAACTCTGTAAAAAGTCTTATTTTGCAATTCCTCAAGGGCATTCTCAGTAGCAATTTCTTAAGTTGGGACTTACAGTCGTACAAGTCTTCAGTAAGACCAGCTTCTCCTGAGGAGGAGGGGTTACTAAAGAGGCAGGCGGCTCAATAAACCCCAAGCTCATGCACGGAGGGGAGTCATGGAAAAGATGGTGGGGCAGGGTGGACACGGTGCAGCAGTGAAGCTGGCACCTCCCAGGGGAAGGAAATAAAACAGGCTCCCAAGGTCCTGGTGACCATAGCTGGCCATTTCCCCAGCCTACAGAGCATTCCTTCCCTTTAAAAGAAAGACTCCAGAGGAGAGCGAGCTCTGCCATGCTTTTTGGGAGCTCATTCCAGCCAGGCTCTGTCCGACCAGAGCCTGGTGTCTCACCAGAGGCACCCTTATCAAAGGGCTCTCCCTTCACTCCAGACATGGGACCCGCAATGCCCGCCACAGCCTCCTGCTGAACACCATCTTGGCATCTCCCGTTTAACATAACCTAACTGAACTTCAGCCAGAGTCCTCATTATTTCAGCTAAGGGCAACTGTAACATGCTGTGGTCTTAACTTTTCCCTTTTCTCCACCATACTCTAGAGTCCATTTATAGAATACACTGTAGCACTGGAAGGTCCCATCGCCAACTGGTCCAGGCTACTCCCACCTGTTGCCTAGGTTACACCAATGGCCTCTTTTATTCTGTGATTTAATTTGATTTAAAGAGCATTTTGTTTTAGTACAGAAGTGACCTGCTGTCTATAGTTTTCATCCTACAGTGCCGTTGTCACCCTAGTCATCACACTCCACTTCTGAAGCAGTCTAAAATGCTGCTGTCCGTGGCGCGAACATGAAGAGGTGTGGCTGAAATGTAACAGTAGCTGCTACAGCGTCTCTCCCCTTCCTACCCCTACCCCATCTCTCTCCGCAATGCTGAGTGTCGAACATGACAGAAAACACTACTGTGCAGCCCTCCCCTGGCTTTACACAGCTCTTGAAGAGATAGTGAGGAAAATCCACAGCCAGCTTGGCATCGCTTTGATCTGAACCCGAGGAAGCACTTACCACCTTCACGTTCTTGCCTGTCTGCTCTTCGATGACAAACGACTTAGAGCCGAGGACTTCCCATATGCTCTCCCCGTATATCTTGGGGGTGACTGGTGGGAATTTCACGGTCACGTTGATGTGATCCATAAAACCAACAATCTCAAATTCTGGCGGCTCAGGTCTAACTGTGTGGGAAAGAGAACGAGAGTGAGCTCCAGTCAGTTCTTTGGTACGCAAGGTCGCTCCTCCTAAGAAAGGCTAATTCTGTGGGAATGGGTTTCTAATTCTAGCTGAATAGCATTGTTTGGATTTACTGGTGAAGAGCAGAGAATACAAAAGTAAAACGATCCGTGAGCATTCCTATGGCACACGGAGACAGATTTGAGATGGACATCACCAGAGTTCCAGTTCTGAAGCTGTATTCTACGTACAAAATTTAAAGTGACTTGTCTTCATAACTCAACATGAATATATAGCAATAATATACACTTGTAGAAAATACAGGTGGGAATTTCCTTTCAGTATAATTAACTTTTTCCATGACGTATGTATATGAATAAATACATGTTCACAAGTATTAACTGGGGCATATAACTGGTCATACATGCATACATATGTTCACAAATATACACACTGAAATTAAATCCTTCTAACCCATATTTTTTATGCCACTTAACTACTTAAAAAACAAAACAACCCAGATTTCCCCTACACAGCCCGGTTGGCCTTGAACTCACAATTCTCTACTTCTGGTTCTTCAGTACTGGGATTCTATAAGCATGCGTCAGCATCCCTGGCTCACTTAACTATAATTCATAAACATATTTATCTACCCCAAGGGCTAAAAAACCATGTCTCATGGGTTAGACTTTGGCACAACCTAAAACTTCAGATCTTTTTCTTTTGGATGATTTTGCATTTTTTGGGGGGGAGGGGGGAATCTCAAAGGAAAACATGAAGGACAACCCAGGACAGAGCCTGTATCCTGTATATGGGCCACAAAATTTAAAGTGTACTTCTCTGGCCTTCATGAGGAGCACTGACCCCCAACTCACCGCATAACTTTCCAGGATGAATTTAAAACCTTGTGTTCTAGACCCCAACTGACTCATTATTTCGAACAAATTGATTATCCTTAATATTAAAGGCATGTGCCACCACTGCCAGTATCTTTTTCCTTTTAAAAGTGCTTTTAGGGGCTGGAGAGATGGCTCAGAGATTAAGAGCACTGACTGCTCTTCTGGAGGTCCTGAGTTCAATTCCCAGCAACCCACATGGTGGCTCACAACCAACTGTAATGAGATCTGTGCCCTCTTCTGGCCTGTAGGCATACATGGAGGCTGAACACTGTGTATATAATAAATAAATAAATCTTTAAAAAATTACATTGATTTTTTAAAAAGTGCTTTTTAAAAAATTACTTTGATTTTTTAAAAAGTGCTTTTTAAAAAATTATTAAATTATGTGTATGTGTGCACACTTGTGGGGAATGTGCACATAAGTGCAGTTGCGTGCAGAGGCCAGAAGAGGCAGCAGATCCCTGAAGCTGGAGTTCTAGGGGTTGTGACTGTGGATGCTGGGAACTGAGCTCAGCTCTGTAGGAACACTGTACTCTTCATTGCTGAGCCATCTCTCCAATCATCTTGGCCATTTTTTAATAACAAATTATCAAGGAGGAATTCTTGGTTAAAGTGGTCATATGTTAAGGGTTTTTTGTTTTATTTATTCTCTCCATATTTGACAGAAATAAACCTACTATTTTAAGGTTTTTTTTTAGTTTTTAATTTATTTTATTTGTGTTGTGTACAGGCATATGTGTGTGGGCACATGCATCACAGACAGGTGTGAAGGTTAGAGGACAACTTTTGGGAATCAGCTCTCTCTCTACCATGTGGGTAGAGACTGACCAGGTCATTGGGTTTGGGACAAATGCCTTTACTCACTGAGCCATCTTGTTGGCTTTTTTTTTAAATACGCGTTGTTGAATCTGTTCAGAAGAAAGGTGTCAAAGCAGGAGGTCTGTGTTGCTTTTCTAGTCCTGGGGGTTTGGTTTTGTTTGACACAGGGGCTGACTCTGTAGCCCTGACTGGCTTCCTACATTCTATGCAGCCTAAGCTGGCCGCAAACCTCCTGTAGTAATAATAAGACAGGAGCAGTAATCCTCCTGTCTCAGGCTCTTGGGGGCTGGAATTACATGTGTGCACCACCATACTTGGCGATCTTAGGTTTTAGTATCTTTTTCATATTTATTATTTGAATCATGAAAAATACTTATTACTTGAATACATATTCCTTATCATGATCTATAAATTATTCTTTAATCTCTTTTTTGTGAGTCTATGCACAGATATAAATGGTGATCCAAAGCCTGCATACCACTGCAGTGATCTTATGCCTCGTAAGATCTGAATCATGGGTCATGGTAGCCACATTATCTATCACTTTGCAAGTATGTTTGCATGCACGTGCGCGCGCGCACACACACACACACACACACACACACACACACACACACACCTACTCGACCTGTAAGAGCGTGCAAAAACCAAATCATGACCTTGGAAACCAGTTATAAAGGAGCTAGAACCACTAACACAAGTGCCCAGGAGGTGGCCCTCGGACACAGGGAAAGAGAGAAAGGGGTCACTCCACCCTGTGAGTTGAGGGTCCTAGGGGTTCACATATGCAGCTTTATTGGGTTATAGTCTCAGACAGGCTGTGGTAATCAGGAAGACACTGGCCTAAACTGACGTGACAACTTAGAAAGAACCATACAAACCCTCTTCCCCACTTCCTGCCAGGCTCCTCCCCACTACTGCCAGGCTCCTCCCCACTTCCTGTCAGGCTTCTCCTTACTTCCTGCCAGGCTGTAAAGAGATCAGGAAAACAGCTGCAGTTACTGCTGAAAACCGGCCAATAATCTGAGAAGACCAGGTTATGGACCCATTTTTCAGATCAGAAAGCTGAGGCTCTGAGCAACTAATGACCACACAAGGCAGGGCCAAGAGTCAACCCAGCTCTCAAGTCAAACATCTTTGTGGACCTTTCTCTATGTAGCAAACCACGGAGAAAGAGAGGCATGCTCACTGTCTATGTTTGAGACATAGGAATCTCCACAATAGCTCCGCATGGAGTCTCCTCTGTAAATGACGACGATGGGAACATAGGACGCATGCGTGTCATTCCACTTGTCTGTCACATCGCAAGAAGATTCTGTGATATTTCTACAGTTCTCAAGCACCTTCGGTTCTTCTTGTGTGCTTTGTGGGTGGGAGAGAAGATGAAAAAGGAAAAGCTGAGCATATGTGTTCTGAGAGTCTACTTTCTGGGCCTCATTCATTCCTTCGGGGCTCTGACCAGATATTCTACACTTACTTTATCTTAAAATTGGACATGTTAAACTCTACCTGGCCCCACACTTTTAATCTCTTTTGGATTTTTTCCCCCTAAGGATTCATTATATCTTTATTTGCTTAATAATGTCCCCAGCTTCTTTATGAATATCTGTGCCTAGAGAAAAGGGCTTTGTTTCGTGGATGCAATCCGCTGCATGAAGGAAGGAAAAAAGGGAGGGAGGGAGGGAAGGAAGGAAGAAAGGAAGGAAGGAAGAAGAAACTCTGGGCTTGGGCTTTCCTGGCCTTGGCCTCAGACCTCCCTCTCCCTCTCTGTCTGAAGGTCATACAGCATAGTCTTAAATCAGAACTGTGTTAGTTTAGGGACAACATGGACATCTGGTCTACCAAGCTTGGGGAAGAAAGGGAAAGTGTTGGTTAGCTTTAACTGTCAACAGGAGGGAGGGAGGAGAACCTAGGGCTGAAGAATTATCTGGATTGAGTTTGCCTGTGGACAAGTCTGAAGGTGATTATCTTGATTGTTAATTGACGCTGGAAGCACCTGAAGGTAGGTGACCCTGCTTCCTGGCCTGGGCGCTGAACTGAATGAGGAAAAGGTAGCTGAGTGACTAGCTTAAGCCAAGCAAACCAGGATCCATGTATTTGTTCCTCTGATCATGACTGTGATGTGACACTTGAAGTTCCTGTCTTGACTTCCCTCAACAATGGACTGTAGCCTGGAATTGTCATCCAAATAAACCCCTTTCTTCCCCAAGTTCCTGTTGGCCAGAGTGTTTTATCACAGTGGCAGACACTAGACTGGGTAGGCTAATGGCACGTGTGATCTTCAAGCAGATAAAAACAAAGACTTGCCAGGAGACAGGGAGATTCACAAGAGACCTTTGCCTTCTCCTGGCCACTTTAACAGTTGGACGTCAGGTACATAATCAAGAAAAGGACATTTTGGGTCAGGGCACAGTGCTTACAGATACATACTCGCTTTTCAAAGAGCTACTTGGTCATAACAAGGATGCAGGAAAGATGAACGTGGGAGTAAGAGGGCCAAGGTAGTCTCCATCAACTCCATCTTTACTCCTTGTAGCAATCCTTGAGCAAAGACAAAACGCTCTGGACTAAGTATCAAGCTTGTCCGTGGCGAAATGACGCTGGACCCAAGCTTGCAGAGCCTCTCGAGGCTGACCTGTCTCCACGAGTAAAGCATCATGTGGTCAACAGACCTGTGAGCCCCATGGGAAGCGAGACCCTTAAATGTCAGAGTGACTGAAGACAGATCACTGTGAACCACAAGAATCCGGCTTTGGTTATGAACACAAACGGTGCCCCCAAATAGCTTTGGGTTATTAAAGATTTCAAATTAATCAAGAAAGGATCAGTGCTTTAACTTTGACCCTTTAAGGTTCTGAATTTAAAAAAGAGAAACCCCAGACAAAAAGTTGGGAAGATGGCTGAGTCAGTAAAGTAGTTGCCCAGAAGGCATGAAGATCTGTGTTCGATCGCCAGCATCACAGGGAGGCAGCGCCGACAATCCTAGCCCGGGGCAGACTGTAGGATCCTTGGGGCTTACTGGCCAGCCAACCTAGCAAAAGCCTCAAGCCCCTCCCTCAAAACTTAAGGTGGAGAGTGGATGAGGCAGACAGCTAATGTCAACCAACCTTTGGCCTCAGCAAACACATGCACGCGCTCCCCACACACATATAAATTAATTTAAAAAAGTCTGGGACCAGAAGTGTGTATATTGAGGGGAGAAAATTGCACAACATGAAAGAAAGGTAACACATTCAGCAAGAGAAGAAAAGGAAACACCAACCAACCTCATCATTGTGCTCCAAAATGTAAAGTGAGTGGGTGGGAGCGACTTGTTCTTTAACTCCAATGATAAAACTAGCCGGAAGTTTCGTAATATCAGGCTCATAGTGCAAGATTCTTTTGGGTACTCTGGAGGGAAAAGAAAACAAACCAAAACATGAAATCTGAAATTCAGGATTGCTCTCCCGCTTAGGAGCTCAGACCCAATGTCCCCCAGGGAAGCCCAAGAACAATGGCATCTGGAACATGCAGGAAGTCTGCTGGACATGGGAAATGAAGTAATTCAGCTAGTTAGTGACAACATATTGTCAGAGGAGCTAAGTTCACAAACAAGAACCAGCACCCTGTAAACAGACTTGGACAAAGGGTTTCTCTAATTATCATTAATTGAATAGTTCATGGATCCCAAATAATCATGCTCCTTCCGGACCAGGGGCTTCTTCCACAACCTCCTCATCCTCTTTGCTCAACTGTTCCATAAATCACTCCACCCACTTTAGACTTTCCCTCTCTCTGTCTCCCTGTTTCTCTCCTTCCCTCCCTATCCCCAGTTCACTTCCCCACTGCACTTTAATTCCCCTGGTCACAAAAAGGAGCAAGAATTCTAGTTTTAAAAAATGTATTTTCCTTTACCTGAAACCAGTATGTAGAAGATGAGAAATTAAAGAGAAACTATGTCTGCATCATATTTTCTGTCTTCATTCTTTTATTAGTGAGAAATTAAAACTTCAGTGTTTCTGTAAGAGGGTGTCTTAGTGATCGCTAGTGTTTCTTTCCTTATGATGGTTTTAGGAGACTGTAAATGGAGACTGTGCTTTCATTTCCCGGCCACCCAGACCCAAATAATCACACAGAAACTGTATTAATTACAACACCGCTTGGCCAATGGCTCAGGCATATTCCTAACTAGCTCTTACATCTTAAATTAACCCATTTCTATTAATCTACGTGTCACCACAAGGCTGTGACTTACCAGTAATGTTCTGGTATGTTTCTTCTTCGGCAGCTATAGGAGACAGATAATGAAAACTTCAGTTAGACAATCCTAGCTTCTCTTATGGACAAAGGATTCCGATAAGCTTGTCAGCATACCTGAGATCAAGCTTTCCCTGTCTGTTAGCCCGACACTTTGACCCTTACATTAAATATAGTCAAACTCAGAATAATTCTTACCAACAAAAGCAGATGACGAACCAAATTGTAGGATCATGCACACTAGGAGGAAGAAAAACAAGTTACAGAGACGTTTATTCTGGGTTCAGATTATCAGCATCACACTAAATTTAAGAGTCTTTGACACGCATGCACTCACAAACATTTAAGAGCCTTTGACATATGTGCACTCACAAACACTGAGATTTGCTTGTGCTAACAAAAATACTGTGAAGAACAGAAATGTTCCTGGCCAACGCTGGTACCACCGACACTTGTGTGATCTGAGGGCGGCAATCAGGGCAGAAGCAAGGTGAGGCCTCTGGGACCCGGCACAGCAAGGGCTGGGTAGGAAGAGAGTGTCTGAGGAGCAGCTGTGCATATGAAACATTTCTCAGAAGAGAAATCATCATGCCGCTCAGTAATACACTTTCTAGGTAAAGATATTTACCCAGGACGGACGATGAAGAGAGGGGTTTGGAATGGGAACTAGTGAGTGCTGTCCCCTTGGAGCAGGCTTAAGTTAAGGGGGGCATTTATTTCCAGATCTTGTAATGACTTAAGGGGAGTGGCATTCCCGGCATTTTACAGAAGAACATGGGTGGTACACATTATCCATGGATAGTTACACCAGGACAATTGTCACACTCAGGGGTCCCTAAGGACAAACGAAGGGACAGATGAGCTGTCGGTGAAACAGTCAAGAGGAAGAAGGAGAAGGGGTGGGACAAACAGAACTGTAGTGAAGAAAAGGACTAAAAAAAATAAATAATTAAATGAGCTGCATAACCCCAGGTTCAGGGCTGGATTTCCAATTTTGTGTACATGGAAAGAGATAAAGGGGTTGTCCTCCCCACTCCACTGTGGGTTAGACTTAGAGCAACCATCCTTCAGTTATAAACAAGGGGGTTTCCCTAATATGATTGCACCTTATATTATTCTGGCTTAACTCAAATTAACAGGCAGAAAACCACAGGGTGCCTGATACTGGTCATGCCGATCTGGGTCCTCCAGCCATGGACATTGGTTTGCCAGACCACATGAGGGCTGTGGGTGACGGCCCGGACACAGGCTTGCCCCTCTACCAGCTGCTAGATGAACAGGAACACTTACCCCCAAGACACAGGTTACGGAAACTGACAGCAGAGAAGGCGCGGTTGGAAAGCATCCTGGTGAGTCTGTAAGTCCTTCCTCTGCTCTCACATCTGAAAAAAATAATATTGAGGTGATCAAAATTCAGAAGCACTCAATTATATTGTCACACACACCACACATGCAATAATAAAAGGCAAGTAAGAACTGGCGGATTTCGAGCTACAGATGTGGTTCTGTTGGTAGACTCGGACTGGTATCCAGCCTGGCATAGATGCAGTGTGCTGGGGGACATCTGTCATCTAAGCACTCAGAGAGACGGGGGAGAGGATCAGAAGTTCAGGGTCATCCTCAGCTACATAGGGAGTTTGAAGCTAGCAGGGACAAGGCAGCCAAATTCCTGGTTTTATCTTCCCTAGTTCCTTGGGATTGGACCATCGATTTGCTCAGCTCTTCTTCCAGTTTGTAGTACCAATCCCTAGCTAAGGAGACTTTTTTTTTTTAAGATTAAATGTTTGAATAGACAATGAGTATTGGGTTAATTTATTTTTAATTATTAAAAAATTGAATTAACAAATCCGTGTCTGTGTGTGGGCATGTGTATGTGAGCAGGGCGCCTGTGGAGGCCCAAGTACCTGGAGTTACAGGCGGTTATGAGCCTCCCTTCGTGGGTGCTGAGGATCGAATGTGAATCCTCTGTAAGCCCTAACTGCTGAGACATCTCTCTAGCACCTATGTTATTACTATGTGACACAGGCTGGTTTGAACTTGAGCAAGCCTCCTGGCTCAGCCTCTCAAGTGCTAAGATTACAGACAGGCATCACCATCCTGGCTAAATGAATTCCCCTTTCTTTCAGACAAGAGGTAGAATATTCAACCATTTCCTACTTAATTTTTTTTCTTCTAAAAAATAAATTTGAGAGGTCTTCCCACCAGAGAAAATGCTCTTGTTTTTAAAATATAGTTGTTCAGTATGCCTCTATGGACACACTATCACTTACGAAGTTTCTGACCAGATATTTGGTTACAGCAGCAACAAAAGTAACTAAAACAGAAAACTAGTAACAAGACTAGCCATTGCTGTTACAACCTTGACCCTGCGGTTCCTAAGTCTTGGGGAGGGTTTTCCGGAAGAATGTGGCAGACTTTGGAGCTGTTGGCTACAGAAGCTTTTAAGTGCCTATTAAGTGCTTAAAGCTCTAATAGGAAGTTGGAAGGCCCAAATGCTCTCAGATACACAAGCAGTAGAGACTCTACTCGTATGGTTTCAGAGAGGAACAAGGACTCTCCAGGGAATCTGGCTAGAGGTCATTTGTTCTGCAGTCTGGCAAAGAATCTGCCTGTGGCCCGAGGAGGCTGAGTTGGAAGTCACGGGCTGATTTATTTGAAGGAGGATGTCTTAATTAAAGTCAGGATGCACATGCAGGCTGTCATGGTTACTGCTCACTGCTCTTATCCACATCTGTGCTGAAAGAGAGCAACGGGTGATGCCGAGAAACACGGAGAAACACGGAGCCTGGCAAGGAGGGCCAAGGAAAGCTGCTTGCAGGCAAGGTGGGTGTGGGAGACACTGGCAACTGTTAAAGATGTTAGCGCCACTAAAGAGAAGTCTGCACTCAGCTGGGATCATAAGAAAGTTATCTCGAAGGCAAGACGCCGCCCACTGAGCGCTCCGGGCTATAACAATGCCTTCCACTGGGAAAAGAAAGCCACCCAAGACGTAGACAGAAACCACTGGCACCACCCTCCCCCATGCCCCATTGCAAAACTGCTGCCTAGGACAGCAGCTGCGGTCCAGGGAGGCCAGCCTGCACCTCAAGGCGGCAGCAGATCTTGGTGTTCTGTGTGGTGCTGTTTTTGCAGGAATGCAAGGCCCGAGAGTGTGTGGATTAATGGAGTTTTCTACCAGTCCTGAGGGGGGTATTGCATGTATTTCTAGCATTCATCTCCTGAATAGGCTGCATGTGAAGCTGTGTGGGTCAAGCCCACATTGTTATACGGACTATGGGCTTAGGTTATCGAAGATGTCGCCCACATTGTAATATGGGTTTAGGTTATCGAAGACATCAAAAATGTGGGATGTTCACCAAGGAAAGCTGCAGGTGGCAAGTTGGAGCTGGTCCAAGGAGAAGGTCATGTGTACCACAGGCAGAACTGGAGGGGCAAGACTGCCCAAGACTGTAATAGCTCAAGTGGACCCTAGCTATAGCTCAAGGACCCTAGATGCCAGAGGAGGAACTTTAGGATTTGGTATTGGGAGTTGGTCTTGCTTTGGTCCAGTCCTTCCTGCTGTGGTTGTGATATTGGATTTCCCAATGTTCAGACTTGTAAGCCAAACAAACCTCTGCTTATTCAAAATTACCCAGTCTGTGCCGTTCTATTATTCTGCCAGAAAATGAGTGAAGACAGTGGTATATGGCTATTAGGTTATTACCGGGAACAACACAGGCCAGTTAGCATGTTTGGAGGAAGATTTTAATACCGTTTAGTTACACACATGTGAGCAAGATGTACACCCACCAGCAGGGAACATTCTGGGCCTCCTGCTAGCAACAGGGGAGGCATTACTACTCGGGCATTGCAGAGAAAACACAAGACCAGTATGAGCCTGTGCGGAGAAATCCCATTTGAAGAGTTATGACAGGCAACGAAATGACACCTCCAGGCCACAGAGGCTTCAGGGTCGGACTGAGGACACATGGCTCTCGTTATGTCATTATATCACATGTCCAAACTCAGCTAGGGTGGTGGCGTGGGCCTGCAGGACAGGAGCCTAGGGGAAGACAGTCCAAGCTGGGCCTGGGGGACAAACAGTGGCACCTAGGTGAGGGGCTAGCCATTCTAACTTTGACACAGAAATGGCCTTGCCGCTGGCCTTTACGGCTGCACCAGTTCACAGAGGTGTTTGCCCTCCACGCCCTCTCCTCGGCATCCAATCCTTGGTTTTATTTTATTTTTTTTATCAAATTTATAAATAAAACCTCTTTCCTAATATTAGTTTTTATCTCTTATTCTGGGTGGAGTTAAGTATCTTTCCACACATTTGAAGGCCGTGCGCCATTCTTTTTCTGTCAACTCTTTCTCCCACATCTATTGATGTTTTCCTTCTTTTTGCAGGAACTTTCTAAGGATGAGAACCTGACCATTCACAGTATGAATCACATTCCTTTTTCTTTTTCTAGAGAGTTCTCTGCCTGTCTTTTGATTGCAAGTGCTGGCATGTGCATTCATGTGTGTGTGTGCGTGCATGTGTGTGTGTGTGTAAATCATTTGGGAGTCCCTGGTGTTCATGCTTCCATACGGAAAGGTACAATTGTCCCTCCTTATCCAGGGATTCGGCATCAGTGGATTTGACCAGTTGTGGATCAAAAATACCAGAAAAATAACTGACTGCATTGAATTGGTACAAACAATTGTTTTTCTTTTCATTATTCCCTAAACAATACAATGTTACTGTTTACATATCATTTGAATTGTACTAGGTAGTACATGTAACTTAGACATGATTTTTTTTTATTGATTTTATTGAGCTATACATTTTCTCTGCTCCACTCCCTGCCTCCCTGCTCCCGCTCAGCCCTCTCTCAGGGTCCCCATGCTCCCAATTTACTCAGGAGATCTTGTCATTTTCTACTTCCCATGTAGATTAGATCTATGTATGTGTCTCTTAGGGTCCTCATTGTTGTCTAGGTTCTCTGGGATTGTGAACTGTAGGTTGGTTTTCTTTGCTTTATGTCTAAAAGCCACTGATGAGTTAGTACATATGACAATTGTCTTTCTGGTCTGGGTTACCTCACCCAATATGATGTTTTCTAGATCCATCCATTTGCCTGCAAATTTCAAGATGTCAATTTTTTTTTTTCTGCTGTGTACTCCATTGTGTAAATGTACCACATTTTTCTTATCCATTCTTCAGTTGAGGGGCATTTAGGTTGTTTCCAGGTTCTGGCTGTAACAAACAATGCTGCTATGAACATAGTTGAGCACATGTCCTTGTGGCACAATTGAGCATATACCCAAAAGTGATATTGCTGGGTCTTGAGGAAGGTTGTTTCCTAATTTTCTGAGAAATCACCATACTGATATCCAAAGGGGCTGTACCAGTTTGCACTCCCACCAGCAATGCAGAAGTGTTTCCTTTCCCCCACAACCTCTCCAGCATAAGTTGTCATCAATGTTTTTGATCTTGGCCATTCTTACAGGTGTAAGATGAAATCTCAGAGTTGTTTTGATTTGAATTTCTCTGATAAATAAGGATGTTGAGCAATTCTTTAGTGTCTTTTAGCCATTTTAGATTCCTCTGTTGAGAGTTCTCTGTCTAGATCTGTACTCTGGTGTGGGAGAATTGTCTGTATTCTGTCAATCATGTATTTTAATAAAATGCTGATTGGCCAGGCAGGAAGTATAGGCGGGTCAACCAGATAGGAAGTAGAGGCGGGGCAATGAGAATAGAATAAGGCTACGGAGGAGGAAGGTCCCTCCGCCATTCCTGTACAGACCACCGAAGAGGCAACATGTAAGCTGTCACACTGAGAAAGGTACTGAGCCCGTGTGGCTAACATAGATCAGAATAATGGGTTAAGATAAGTCATAAGAACTAATAAGTAGCCTGACCTAATGGGCCAATCAGTTTATAACCTTATGGAGTCTTGTGTGTGATTTTCCTTGGGGTATGCCGGCTGTGGGGTACCGGGTGGGACGGAAACCCCAACAAGCCGGTGCCCTTGTGTTACAGTACTCCATTTTTTTTATTGGATTATTTGTTCTTTTGATGACCAAATTCTTGAGTTTTTTGTATATTTTGGAGATCAGCCCTCTGTCTGATGTGGGGTTGGTGAAGATCTTTCCCATTCTGTAGGCTGCCGTTTTGCCTTGTTGACTGTGTCCTTTGCTTTACAGAAGCTTTTCAGTTTCAAGAGGTCCCATTTATCAATTGTTTAGTGTCTGTGCTACTGGAGTTATACTTAGGAAGTATATATATTTATTGGTTTCCTGTGTCAATGCGTTCTAGTGTACTTCCCAGTTTCTCTTCTATGAGGTTCATGAGGTCTTTGATCCATTTGGACTTGAGTTTTATGTATGGCAATAGATATGGATCTGTTTTCATTCTTCT